GATAAATTATCTCTGATGTAACTGAACATCAGCGATTGCGTACAAGCGTTTACACCATAATAACAATGAAAGTCGATGAATAAAATTCATTGCGCTGACCAACCTTCTTAGAAGTATGACCGCTATCTGAATGGTGTGTGGATGAAGACGATGGAGGTGAGGCACACACCTCACCCTCTTCCATTTTTTGCTCTTCTTTACTGGCGGTTTTGTTGGTTTGAGAGTTTGATTCACGATTGTGTCTTGTTTCGACGTTCTTTGATGATGAATTCTTTGATGATACAGTTACCTCGGTTGAATTCGACGACACTTCTGGAATGCATCTAGTGAATACTGATAATGTCGAATTAAAGCAATTCTATCATTATCATTCAATTCGATAAACTCATGAACATATCTTCAGAAATCCAATGAATTCATGAAAGTAGCGCTCATTTGGATATAACTTTAAATCAGCCAACTTAAACTGTGTACAAGAAAAGGCCTAGATTCAAACGAATACACACTCACCATTCAGTTTTCTTTTCCTAATAATACTCTAAATTTTCGTTTCATTTGTTACTTACGGATTGTACTTTTCATACGCAGAAGTGTTTATTGAATAAATATTATCATTTTAATAAAAGAAGAAAATACGCCAAAAACGAACTATTCTTTTTGTGTGCAGGTGAATCGTTCTTCACCGTGACGTTCGTTGTGCTTGCACGTTTTCGTTCATCTGCATTCGTTGAAGCAGTACCGGATTTCGAACTAATCGCATCATTTTTCGGATCATTCGACGAGATCTGCGATGCGGACGATTTGCCGTGATCAGACGACGACGACGACTTCGATGCGGTCGTGGTCGTATTGCGATTGGCGCTTGACGAATTCACAGTCGACGATTTCACAGCCAATTCACCGTTCACGGACGTCGTCGTTCGCTGCTTTGTGCTCGCAGCGTCCGCAGCTTCAGTGCCACCGTCCCGCTTGCCACTCGCTTCTGAATCGTTCGCCTTCTTCGAATCACTCGATTCGGTTCCCTTCACCGTCACTTTTTTTGCCACACTTTCGCTCTGCTGTTGTTGTTGTGCCTTGGGATTGTTGGTGACTTCGTTGGAGGACGCCTTTGAAACGGTCACTTTTTGTGTTGTTGTCTTCTTGGCAGTCAGCGCCGACCTCTGAAGACAATTCTATCGGTTCCATTATACACTACACATTACGCATTCACCACTCAACTTATGCGATGTCAACGAAACATTAAAAGCAAATAAACAATAAACGAACGAACATTATGGAATTGAGCTTCGGTGAAAACACTGGTTTTTCGCATCTGAAGATGAGATGCGTACGAAGCAGCCATTAAGGACAGATCGTCGCGATTACCCTTCTCGGAGTCACGAACCTTCATCACAACCTTCTGTATACTGCCAACGTGAGATTCGATTAACGGAAAATACTGTAACACCTGCAATACAAGAAACGCTCGTTGACACAATCCAATCGTTATCATCCAAAATGCAATTTCGATTGAAAGCTAGCTTGAAGAAAATTTTCATCATTCGATGAAAATGCGCAAACAATGACATTATTAACGACGTACAGTGATAATCAGAAAGACAATTAAATAGCGACAGTGAAAAAAAAAAACAGCGATACCTTTGTCATAACGATAAGACAGTTTCTCATAAGCACATAGTTACCACCGTTCATAATAGCAACAGATGAACGTGCCATACGGAATTGCCACTTATGGCACAGTGATCTGAAATCACACAAAATGATTATTTTGTTTCTGATACGAGCAGCACGTCTTCCATGCTCAAATAATTCAAAACCAATTTTTTTTTTTGAAACTATGAATTATTCACCAAGAATCTTTGACCACAATGAAATAATAATATTGAATCTAAAGCAAAACCACCCACCTATAGGATTCGAAGTTCATTCCGCCATTATGGCTTTCTGTGATTCCCTCGGCGTTACGAGTGTGTAGCTTGGTCATGAAACCAGGAAATCCGTGACATTCCTTAAACAATAACAAGTAAACTTTTGCGAAGACAAACTTATCGCCAACTTTTACGAACAGCACCATGAAAGAATCGTATTTTACGCACTCATAATAATGTATCAATTGAAAAAAACACGTCTACGTGAAGTACGGATCATTCGCTATCGTTTTTGCTATAAATGCAATTTTGTTCTAGGCGCCGAATTTAGGAGTGAACAAATAATTAAATGGATAAGCACTCGAAGCAAACCTTTTCAAAGACACTTTTGTCACCATGCCATCGCTGTACAATCTCCAACATCAACGATAAGAATCTACCGAAGCAATTCGCCTCGTTCTCAGTGAATGCAGTCAGTATTATTGCGATGTCGTTGAAAAGCTGAAATTTCATAGCCCTAATGAAATGAAATTTCTTAAAAGTGCACGACTGTACAGTCCAAACGGCCAGAAAGTCATCAATATTTCTCACAACTGCTTCCCTCTATTTTGATCAAAGACATCTTAATGCGAAAGAGAATGCAAGTAATCACCTTATCAAAGAAGAATACGGTCTGAAAGAACCCGGTTCGTTGCTGATGTAAAAGATGCACAAAGTGTGCACAATAAACAGCGTCAATGTCCGTGAAAACAGCTCGTGGCAATATGCAATACTGAAGAAATCGTGCCATTTGCATACCGCGCATATCTGTAAGTTCATTTCAATTTTAAAATAATAATACTATTGACCAAAACAACGTCAATAATCATAATAGTAAGAAACCGAAAATAACAACAGTAATCATAACGGCAATACGAAAACCGAACTAATTCTTCTCTTCTCTCACACATTGTCAACGTCAAGTGAACAATTACATTTACATTTTAATTCAAGTTGTTTCGCGAAACGATGTGACGACTCGCTAAAACGTCAATAATCAACCTCATCACGATTAGTATTCAACGAATTATTCGTTTATTTGAGTTCATGTTCAATTCTAGAATCACAAACTGCTCATTGATAATCAAGAAGCTTACTCGGAGCACAATCCGCGAACAGAAGTTCTTTGTCGTGCCGTAATATGGCGAGAATACGCTCGACGTGATCGTTCTGTTTCTTCAACTCATCACTCAACTTCTTTTCGACGCCCTTCAGTTGCTCTTCTTCTTTTGCTCGTTTTGTTTTGCTCTACAATTAATCCTCTTTTGGCTATTCAAATCTGAGTAACAAAAATCAAATGAACGACAACGCATCATCTCACCACTGAAAACTGTCCATCAAAGCAAAACAATAACTCTAAAAGATATCGAAACTTTCCGCATCTCGCTTTGCAAATTCATCTAACATCTGAACAACTTACAATCTCAACGTTATCGGCAAGAGTCGCTAATGATCGACGAACGCGTTGAATTTCCTTTTCGTAGGCTGCTTTCGGTACACTTATATCATACATGGTCAGTGTCCAAAAGATGATGAACACTCTGAAAGGAACACTCAACATTTCATACGCATCAACAAATTAATTCAAAAACAAACATTTTATTTAAAGTTGTTGAGAATTATGTTCAGCAATGAGTTTTTCAAGAAATATTGAAGGGCAACACTGATAAAAAGGACCAATTTGATNGGAAACAAAATTTGTGCCAGATGACTGACGGATCAGCCAACTTAAACAAATTGAAAAACTCAAATATCGTCTAATATATTTTAATGAAGAATATCCGTCTGCTTCGTGCTTGCCTCCAACCCAAACGCTTGAATAAGCAAAGTGAAACATCAACGGCTCCACATTAGAGATGCACGGATGTGAAAACAAGACGCGAGCAGTTTGATCACGATGTTTGTGACAGAATAAAACAAAACTGTTGAATCTTTCAATGTGAACAATTCCAGAAAAACAAAAGAATATTTCCCTTTCCTAAAATTCTGAGTTGTGTCGTATCTCAACGGAAAAAGTTACAACAAGTGAACAACCGAAAATTAAGAATAAAAGAAACAATTCAGTGAATGAGAACAACTGAAAAACCAACGTATATTCGATGCAAGTACGACGGTCTGCACAGAAAGAACGCAGCGTCAGTTGGCAGATAATACTTCGAGATGAGCTCATCGATTGACATTATTCGATCGCTGTATTCATCTTGACGTAGATTCGAACGCAGAAACGATCCGAATTGTACGAGTGTCTCTTGGCACTGCAATCAAACGTCGTATTGTAATAAGTGAAGTTTTTAGGGAGTCAGAAAAACGACT